TTATCTCTCTCTCTCTCTCCCCTCTCCCTCTCTCTCTCTTATCTCTCTCTCCCCTCTCCCTCTTATCTCTCTCTCCCCTCTCCCTCTCTCTCTCCTTGCTCTCTCTCTCTCTCTCCTTGCTCTCTTGCTATCCTCCCCTCTCTCTCTCTCTCTCTCTCTCTCTCGCTCTCTCTCTCTCCTTGCTCTCTCTCTATCCTCCCCTCTCTCTTATCTCTCTCTCCTTCTCTCTTATCTCTCTCTCTCTTTCTCTCTTATCTCTCTCTCTCTTTCTCTATCCTCTTATCTCTCTCTCTCTACGGGAGGACAGCGGGTGCATCCTGGGACTTGTTTAGTGAGTCATATGTTGTCATTAGATGGAAAATGAATTAGAAATTAATTCAATTTTAAATTAATTTTTGTATATGTTTGTTTAGTGAGTCAAATAAAGTTTCTTCCCTAATTTTGCAATAAGAGTTGTCTCTATAAATAGAAAATGCTGCAATTTGCCGTGATGTAAATAATTGGTAGAGGCATCATACTAAAAAACAAACATCATAATTAGACAAGTGTTTTTAGATATACTGAGGGGTCTATTCACTGAGCTGCCGAAGGATCTAGCCGCAGCTTCGGCCCCAGGAACCCTTCGCTTCAGTGGAACGGAAGGGCTGCTGTACGGGCTATTCACTATATTCACTATAGTCCGTACAGCTCCCGAAGTCTCGCGGCTGGCTCCGGACACTTGCAGAGAGATCAGCGTCCCTGGTTACCGGGTAACCAGGGACACTGATCTCCAGACAGCCCAACTCTCCCGGGCGCTCCGGGAGTCCTCCCGCTATTAGAGAGAAACACTTTCTCCCAGAAAGGTTTACTCTGCTCGATCGACCTTTCCCTGCTCTGTTTCTTTTTTATGATTTTGTTTATTTGTTTTTATTCTGACGGCAGCAGAACCGCCCGGCCAATAGAAAACAGTTGGGCGGAGCTAGCTGTCACTGCTAGCTCTGCCCAATCGTATTCTATTATAATTTTTACTTCTTTTTTAACTATTATTCTATTTTGCTCGGTACCACAGAGGTATCGAGCAGAACAGCCGAGCCGAATTCCGCTTGGCGGCATTCGGCTATTCACTCACTGCTGCTCGGCATCTATGAGAATAGGCCGAACAGCAGCGAGTAGCCTGCCGGAGGTTCGGCTCAGCCGATCCAGGTGTTGGATCGGCTGAGTCGAACTCCTTCTGCACTTCGGGTCAGCCGAACATGTTGAGCATGTTCGGCCGACCCGCAGCCACACAAAGCCACCCGATGTACGGCTGGAATCTGCTGTACCAGCCTGAAGTGAATAGCCGAACGGCGTTCGGCTCACTTTGGGTCGGTCGTTCACTCGGCTGCCTAGGGCAGCTTAGTGAATAGACCCCATAATGTTTTACATAAACGTGAATCTCGGGAAACTTCTGCAGCCAAAATGTTAAAAAACCAACGCATGAACCTGCTACAGTTCATCAATACATACGTGTCCTTTGTATGTAGTACACCCGTCAGCCACCAGATGTCACTATTCCTCCGATAATGATAAGCGATTAATATAACAAACACACACACCTGTTTTAGGTTTTTTGTGTGTCTCTACAATGTACATCAACAGTTTTGGCACCATCTATTGTTTTTGTGATTGTATATTACATTTTTGTGTTTTCATGTCCATAAAAATTTTCACTTCCATTAATTTGTTAGCATTTTTTTTCCTGTATAAATAATACATTTTGGGCTGTAATTATTGGTAACAGATAATATGTGGCCAATTCAGTGTCACCCTGCTCAGGTGGTGCTTAAATAGGGATGAGCTGAGTGATTTCAGCTAAATTGGTTTGACTTATTTTGTAGTTGTTTAAATTTGTATATATTTTTGAAATTTTAGTTTGTTTGTTTTTTGTTGTTTTTTTCATTTATTAATGGTCTTTGAATTTG